CTGGCTCAGAGGAATATCTGAACTCCAGCCACGTCCTTTGCCATCTCACTTTAGATGGAAAGATCAAGTTATCCTTAAAGGCTCTATGAGGCCTTAAAGGCAGCCTGAGACCTCCCAAGGGTAAGATCTATTGAGGATGAGGAGAAAGGAGATGAAGAGGAAGGCCTGTATTAACATGTCCACCTGAATGCTGTGAAGCAGAACTCCTCAGATGGCAAAGGAGACCTGGATAAAAAACAGCTCTTTCCCCTCCTTCTCCTTACCTGACCAGCCAGGGCAGCATCCTCACAGCCCCTGCCCGAGCTCAGCCAGCACCACTGGCCACCCAGGGATCCTCTGTGATGGGCTGGGGTCACATTTCCTTGCTGCCCTTCCAGGGACTCCCAGAAACCCAGGAGGGCTGTGATAGCTCCTCAGCCCCCTCAGCTTGCTGCGTGGGCAGCAGTGTGCGGCATCTACAGAGGGTTTGCTGGATGGTGGAAGGAACTAATTTAAATGAGAAAAAGAGACTTTGGGTATGTTGCCAGCATTCTTCTTGCCTATTGTACTCCCCCTTCAGTTTCTGCTTTCCACTGAACAGTTTTATGTTTCCAAGGATCATAAATTCTCATTTTTCCACTGGGCAGGAGGTGCTCTCCTGGTCTGCAGCGCTTCCTGCGTCGCTTTTGTGTCCGTGTTGCCCAGTTACTGCAGCACAGCCCCAGACTATGCCTGGCCACATTCACAGCGGCCACGGCCCCAGGAGCGTGTGCTCCGACGGGCACGGGGAGTTCAGAGGATTCAGACAGGCATGGGGAGTTCAGAGGATTCAGACAGGCACATGCTTCCCCAGAGGGACAAAGGAAGGGCTATAACCCAGCAGTGTCCAGACGGAGCCGCGGGGAGGGCAGCGCTGACCGGTGACCGCAGCAGCTGTCCCGGGAAGGTGGGATGTGATGCTGAAGGAGGGATCAGAGGCTGGACCACAGCCTGCTGTCCAAATGGTGTGGGAACTGACAGTGCTCCTTGTCAGCTCTGAGGCGACACACAGAGCTCAGCTAAGCTGTGCTGGCTGGGAGAAGAACTCTGGGGTTTTCTGTAGCATCAGTTCCACGGGCAGCACTCCCAGCACCCGCCGTTCAAACAGCAGCCGAGCTAATGCCCTGTCCTCACCATCCTCACAGTGTCAGTCACTTTGAAATTAATCACATTCCTGAGCTTGAAATACTTGGATTCATCATGGTTTTAATTCCTAAGGTGGCCCTGGTATAGTCCTGGAGGTCGCACACCACGGTGGAGGGAAGGATGCCAGGCTGGGAGCAGGGTTGGGGGTCCTGCCAGGGGGACGCTGTCGGGGGGCAGAGCTGAGCTCATTCCCACCTCCTCATTGCCATGCTCCCTGTGTCCGTCTGGCAGGCTGGGCTTGGGAAGGGGCTGGGACTGGTTATTGTTGAGGGGTTGTTTATGGACACATAGATCCTGCACCCTGCCAGGCCCGGCCGGGGCGAGGGGAGGCCGAGGGCAGGGCAGCAGGCTGAGAGCTGGCTGCAGAATTTATGGCTGCAGGAAGAAGTCGTCCATTTCCAAGCCTGTGGCATCTTCCTTTGGGCATGCAAATAAGTCCGTACCCAGCTGTGATTGGGAGAATTGACACACTTCTGTTTAAAAACCTGGAGAGCCTCTGCCTTGATTTCCCTTAATACAAGTTAAAACACCATTTGAACCGTGGCCAGGAGCATGTTCTGGCCCTGGTGCTCCTTGTTAATGAGGAAGATGCATTTTTTGGAAGCAGAGTCTGCCTCCAAGACCTGCAAACTCTCTATTTTATGACAGTTTTCATTTGCATAATGAAGGCCCTGATACCTTCGGTAATTAATCACATTAAGAATTGCTTCCTTGAATAACTGTATTCATGCAGGTTGTTCCTAGTGCTGGAAACTGCACATGATTTCCAATGTGCATTAGCCCAACTTTCATCAGCAGATGGAAGCTGGTAACTGCATGTGTAATTTATATCTGCTTGGGTGGAATTATCCAATGAAATATGCATCACACGGCGCCATTAACATTTCTAGTCATACAGTCTTTAGCTCGTGGGTAAGTTAATATTACATGCCAACAGTGTCTGGGACCGTATGAAAGGCAAGGACTTGAACATGGGGATTTAAAAGCAGAAATGGAAAGTATTCCAGGTCAGACATAGAAGATATAGAATTAATGACGCTGCTAAAATAAATGAGATTAATTGCCCTTTTTTGACCTGCATTTTTTTTTATAAAGTCTCCCATCTTCCCTCCCTAGTTAAGAAAGCTGCCAGGCTGCTGAATTGCTGCCTGCAAGGGCAACTGCAGATCCTTTAGCATCCACAAAGCTTTCCCCCATAGGACAGCACGAGCAGCAGGGGAATAGCGATTGAATTGTGGAAGGCAGCAGAGATAAATGCTGCTGTGTGGGTTTGGATTGTGGGTAACCTTGACAAATCCGGGGGAAAAAAAAATCACATCAATTCAATAGCAAGAAAAAAATCAGTGGCTACACTTCACTTTGGTGACAGTGCCAGGTCAGCCAGGAGCCTCGTGCCGGGATGGAGGTTGGTTTGTGCATGACCGTTTTATAGGAGAAAGTCTGCACCCTTTGGGTGCGTTTTTCCATGTGCTTTTTTGTCCTTACATAAATCACGGTTCATTAAAATACTGATTCCTGCTTGATAGGAAGCAATTAAATGAGTGACGCTGTATCCCATCTGCCTCTTCTGTGGAGAGGTGGGGAGAGAGTCCAGCCCCACCTCACGTGGGGCTCTGCCCATCCCTGCTCCGGGAGCACAGTGCTCTCACCCAGCTGGTGTTCCTGCTGCCTGTGCTGGGACATCCTACAGCTCCTGCTGCCTGAGGGGTTTCACCCTTCAGAAAGGATTTTGGGGCCCACTGAGTTTTAACTGTTTTGGGGCTGAGCTAATTCCGACCACAGCTGGGTCCCAAGCCCTCCTGTGCCCTGACCAGGTGCTCCCAGGAGGATGCAGCAGTGGCCACTAGTGAGAACCAACAAACTCCTTCCTCACTGAGGATGCTGTGGCAAAGGGCCACATCCAGCTCACAGTGCTGTACAGCTCTGCCTGGAGCTGAACCCTGTACCTGTCCCGAAGCCAGGCTGGGGAGGTGCTGTGTGGGAGCTGGCTGGAGTTCCCTGGGATTAGAGCCTTGCCATCCCTCCTGGCAGCACCCGCAGATGCGCTGCCGCTGCTCCCAATTGTTCCTTTCTGTCCGAGAGAGAAAGAAAAAGCATCTCTGCAAAATCCAGGCTTGGACTTTGCTTAAAGCCTTTGAGTAAAGAGCCTTGTTTGAATGTAATTGCACCCCTGTTGCTACAATGGGAAAATACACTGTATTGCTCTTTCTTGGAAAGCTCAGCTAGTATTTTCCCAGCCATTTGTGTATAAAGAAAGATAAACAGCTCTCTAGCGGGCAGAACAGTCTATCCCGGGTTTATTGACATTCACGGAAGCAGGCAAGGAGAAACAGTTTGGTGAGTGCAGGGGAGGGGGAGCAGCTGGGCTGGGGGCACTGGGCACGAGGGGCTGCTTGGGTGGAGGGTGTGAGAAGCCTCTCAGGTGCTGGCCATGGTGGGCCCATCTGCCTGGCCTCAGACCCGCACACAGCACATCCCTGTGGGCCCCCCTGGCAGTCTGCAGGATGCCCTCACCACCTCACCCTTCCTCTCACTCCTCCCCATAAATAAAAAACGTGTATAGCAAATTTAGTTCTAGCTTCACACGCAATAGCGCTATAGATAGATTTTTAAAGAGCTTGTCTGAAAGTAATAATTCATGGGGAGATCAAAAGGCTGTGGTTTAATCCAGAGTCTGTCTGATACCATAAACCTTGCAGAGTGCTAACAATTCAATGAACAGCATCAAAGGCCTGATACACATGAAAGCCACCCAATTTTCTGTCTGTAAGGCTTACAATGGGTGCTGAGGAGCTGGGAAGATCTGCGTCTTCCCTGCAGAGCTTGGGTGACAGAGCCACACACAGTCCTTCAACTTCAGCCTCCCAAAAGAGGTGCCTGGACTCTGTTAACACTTCAAGTGCTCCCTGCACCTCCACTGACTGTATAAAGAGATCAGTTCTAATTAGGTGTCTAATTACATGGCCTAGGTAGACTTCAGACTGCACTTGGCTGCTTGGCGTCACCTTGTGCTCCACACCCAAAAATCACACGGGCTGCATTGGTTCTCCAAAGTGACGTGACAAAGCAGTGAATTTCAGATAGGGAATGCAAAAAATATGGGGTATCAAAATGCTGTATTTGGAACTGAAAATAGTGCCTAAAATGGGGGCAGGAAGGATGAGTGCTGTAAACGCCGGTCCCCAGAGTGGAAGTGCTCTGCCATGCTTCTGGCTGTCAGTTAAAGCAACATTTAAAAGCCAGTGTTTAATTTTTAACACAAATGGAGGTGAGCTCAGGCTGCAGACACCTGCAGGTGAGGAGCTGGGGTTTTCTCCAGAGATCCTGATCCCACAGAGGTTAATGTGATTATGCAAATGGCTGAGCTATAATTTCGTTACTGCCGCCCATCTGGCCCTCCCTGCAGCTCCTGAGTGATTTTATATTCCCCATGCACCGCAGCACTGACACACGAGGGATGCCATAAATCACTGCTTGGTGTTTGCTGCCAGTGCCACCTCCCCATCAGACCTCGGGAGCAGAATCCTGCTGGACCAGGCATGGCCAAAACACATGTTCTTCCCAGATCCAAATTAAATGTAGTCCAGAGGATTGAGCTCTACTAGTCCTCTCCCAAGGGATGCTCCTGACAAAGCCAGGATCCTGCCCCACATTCCAGCTACAGCAGCATGTCCTTCCTGACATGGTTTTTCTTGGTAGAATAAAACAAATTCCTACCTCCCTCGGCAGCTGAAATTAAACTAAACCCTGACATTTTCACCTAAGACACTGGCTATCACACACTGTCCCAGGTACCCCCCAATACTCTTTTAAACTTGGATTTTTCTTCTCACCAGTATGAATTCAAAGCCAAGAACATTAAGAAGAAGAAGGTGAGCATCATCGTGTCTGTGGACGGGGTGAAGGTGATCCTGCGCAAGAAGCAGAAGGTGAGGCTTCTCCAGCCCAGCCAGGGCCCTTGGGGCCAGGGCACCTGGGATGTTGGCTATGGCCATGTCTGAGTGTTACTGCTGCTCGGGGTAGTCACACTTCTAACCAAAACTGGCCTTCTCTTATAAACCACCCAGAATTTTCACAAGAAAACACTACAGTTTCCATCCAACTAATAACAAAACCTTGCTGAAAAAAAGAGTGTGAAAATTACACCATGGGAAGAGGATTGGGTTTTTTCTATCAAAAAAAAATGCCAAGCTCTAAAGAAATACAGTTTCTTTTTGTTGCTAATACCAGTAAGCTTTTTCCATGATGCCTGGTCTGAGCACCCCTCAGCTCTTTGCCCAACTGAGCTTCCCACCGAGCAGCTGGATCCAGATCTCCTAAGGCCCAGCTCAGGGCCTTCTTCCCCAAAACATGGAACTCTTCTGCATATTTGATGCTATAAATTAATCTTAGGGACCATTTTCAGCCCTGAAGGCTGTGATCAGATATGATAAATGATCAAAAAAAATCCATTTCCCTCCAAGATACTGTTAAAACAGCCACTGCTCATCTAGTCACGCTATAGCTTGGATTTTGGCTGGGGTCAAACACACCATTCCCCAGGTTTCCTACCATCAGCATGGTGGAGTTTCACCTTTACCTGATTTACTGTAATTTTCTTTCTGCCCTCTTCTAACAGAGAAAGGAGTGGACCTGGGACGAGAGTAAGATGGTGGTGATGCACGACCCCGTGTACAGGTACGTAGCGGGGGATTCACACCAGGGAGGCCCAGTCAGCCCTGGGTGATGTGTACCATCCTCCCACCTGCTGAGATACCTCCACCACGGCTTTCCAAAGGACCATCTAAAATTAACGAGGGTACAGAGTTACTGCCGATGGGGAATCCTTTTCATACATTTTTGAGAGCGAGATGGACTGATCTCGCTTTGAAGCTGGCTCTGCTTTGAACAGGGTCACCCAGGTGACCCCCAGAGGTGCCTCAACCCGGATTACTCTCTGATTTTGCCTCTGAAGACAGGCCTCCCACAGTTTTCCTTCAGAGCATGGTTCTCTGTGTGCTTCTGAAGAAGGGCCTTACTCTCAGGTGTAAGTGCTTGCAGGGAATTAACCCTTATGGACGTGGTAAGAGAGCATTACTTTCCATGGTGCCTGCCATAGGATCTTGAGGAATTTCAGAGACCACAAGCCCCATCTGGTGCCTCAGGAGCCCTCGGGGATGTGAAGGCAACCCCAGTAATGGTGTGTGGCCTGAGGACACAGTTAAGAGCACAGAGTGCTCCAGGCTGTTAGATCTGCCAATAAATAATTGTATCACGAGCACAGAACCCACAGGACGGGGATCCCCAACACTGGTTTTAGGGGTCAGAGCCCTTGGCAAGGAGATAAGGAGCAGAGGATGTGCTGATGCATTATCCATGCCCACTTCTCACCTCTGACTTTCTTTAAAGATTATTACAGGATCTACAACAACTGCTCCAATTGCAAGTTCAACACCCAAAAAATTCCAGTGACAGAAAAAGAGTAGAAGAAAAAGAACATTTCAAGAATCCCTTTGGTTTCTTCTCTGTTCAGAGCTGAACTCACTTGTCACGTTTTTACCCAATTAAATCAAACATATAAAAAAGTCTTCAAAAATGGTTTTGCAGCTCAGGGAAGAATGTCAGCCTGAATATCAGAGAGAGAAATCCTCCGAGTGCACTCAGCATCCCTGGGAGAGGCTTTTGTGCTGTGCCACCTGCCTGCTGCCCAGGGGGAACCTATCAGGTCCCCAGGCTGGCTGCCCTGAGGGGCAGGACACTCATACAGGCGGTTCTACCACGCTGCAGCCTGGGCAGGGGTTAATTGCTGGGGCTAAAAATAGCCATACGCTTTCCAAGACTATAGATTTTTTCACTTTCCCACGGCATCTTTAAAAAGCTTTTGCCTGCCTCAGAAACCAGAAGGTTTTCCATCAAGCCTGAAACACTCTCTAAATCCATCGCCTCCTGCCTTCAAAATTGCAGGAGGGGCTGTGCAGCAGCACCGCCTCATTCCTCCAACCCTGGAGCCCACCCATCCTAGGTACCCACAGGAGATGAGGTGGTCTGGAGGGCGGAAAATCCCCTGGCTGTTTAATTCCCTTTGTCTCTCTCCCACCTAGAATCTTCTACGTCTCTCATGACTCGCAAGACCTGAAAATTTTCAGCTACATCGCAAGGGACGGCGCCAACAACTCCTTCAGGTGCAACGTCTTCAAATCCAAGAAGAAGGTAGGACACTCCCAAGGCTGCACCCAGGCCATCCCTGGGAAAGAGGTCTATGAGGGACCTCACTCCTTCCTGTGCAGGAACCTAAATAGCTGCTGGGTTAGAGGGTGCAGATCCCTGGGGAGACACTAAGGCAGCGCCAGTGCTGGACATCCCCAAAACAACGTGCCTGGCGCTTGTCCCCTCCTGCCCAGCCCGGGCAGCGGCGCAGTCCACACAGGGATAGGAACACCGAGATCCAGAGTGAGGAACTGGGAGCCCCCGGCACAGGAGGAGGCCCGGCAGCGTGGGGCAGGTTCCTGAGTGCCCCGTGGGTGGCGGGGTGGTGGCGGTGGCAGCGCGGCCGCCCTGGGCTGAGCAGTGCGGGGTTGCTCCGCAGAGCCAGGCGATGCGCGTGGTGCGCACGGTGGGACAGGCCTTCGAGGTGTGCCACAAGCTGAGCCTGCAGCACGCCCTGCACAACGCCGACGGGCAGGCGGACGGGGCCAGCGACAAGTCAGCCGAGGAGCAGCCGCTGGAAGGTGACTCATGGCTCCCCTGGGGCACGGGCAGACCCCCCACCCCTCAGCAGTGGGTGGGGGGGTGCTCTGGGGTGGGCAACTGCAAGGTCGCACGTCCCTCATGTGCTTCGGACCCCTTCAGGTAGGGGGCATGGGGAATCTGCCCTGTCTGCCCACTGGGCACTGGGGAGGTGGAGCCCCCTCATCCAGCAAGCTCAGGGTCTGCAGCCCCTCGGCTGCCCTGCTCCCTCCCTCCGGCCCCTTCACCGCATGCCAAGACTTGGAGCAATCCTGGCTGTTGTCCCTGAGCTTCCCCGAGCTCCCAGCCCTGCGCGGGGCCCTGGCTCTTCCTGCGCTCCTGCACGGGGAAGGGGGGCTCGGGTTCACGTGTCCGTCTCGTTTGAAGTCCACCAGATAAAGGGCTCCAAGATCACGGATATGGACGAGGTTGGCATCGACACTGAGGGCATCTGTATGTCTGAGAGGGGACCTAGAGAGCTGCCAGGTGCCAGGGGGGACCTTGGCATGCTGAAACCTGGGCAAGCCTCAAAGGATAAGAACGGCCAGGTAATGGGGGGGAGGGCTGGGGGACAGTCTTTGTGCTCTGCCGCTGCTGGGGTCCCTCCGCTCAGGGTCATTGTATCATGGCTTGATTTGGAGGCACTTTCATGGAGACCTCATTGCAGACCCCCCCACCTCTGGCTCCCTGCTCAGGACAGGCTGTTTAGCTCCCAGTTTTCCCACAGTAGGGCTGTGTCTCAGTGCTGGGGCAGGGCTTGAGGCGAGAGGCAGGAGTGGGGCCGCGGCGCATGGCTGAGCAGGCTTCAGACACAGCCCAGGGTGGATTTCTGTGCCCCCAGAGCTGCTCTGCAGCAGTTGCTTGTCCGACTCCCTCAGCAGCAATCCCCAGCTCCCCTCACCACCCAAGCCCAGGGAGCAACATCCCAAGGGGGCCCAACCCTGACAGCAAAGGTACCCAGGGCACATTCAGCACGAGCAGTGGTTTTGCCTTAATGAGTGGCTGCTCCACAAAGCTCTGGGAGCACTTCCCAGGGGCCTGAATGGCATCGCTTCAGCTCACACAATCGTATGGCTCGCAGGGCCTGGCTGAAAACAGCTGCACTGACATGCACTCCATGGGATTCATTTGCGTGCCTGGAAAGGCTGGGATTTCCTGTGCATTCCTTCTGGCGCTGCCCAGGCAGGGGAGGGCAGGGGCAGGAAGGGCTGCAGGCACTAGCAAATGCTCCAGGCACTAGGATACCCACCCAGCCTGGGCAGCCACATCACGGAAAGGTGGTGGGGTGTTTGGGTCACTTCCTGCTGTCTCCTCCCAGGGGGACCTGCCCTCCCCAGACATAGCCAATGCAGCCCTGCCAGCTCTCTGGGAGCAGGAGCTGCTCCAAAACACACTGTCCTGGGGATCACACAACATGCAGAGCCTGACACTGAGCCCAGGGCTGCCCCCTCAACATCCCCCTGAGTGCCAGGGGTGCAGGGGCCCCTCTGCTGCACTTGGGTCAGAGCTGTGGGGAACCACAATCCAAATCCCAGCCTGAGCTGGTCGATCCGCTCACCTGCCCATTTCTTTGTGCCCAGGATGCCGAGAACTGCTCCCTACACCTGGCCAGCTCCCAGCAGCTGCTCAGCCCGAGCAGCCCCTGCTCCTCAGCCTCCATCACCCCGCTGGCCTCCCAGCACTGCCTCCAGCTGCTCCAGCAGCAGCTCCTCCAGCAGCAGCAGCAGACGCAGGTGGCTGTGGCCCAGGTACGCGCCCTGCCCTCCCCTCAGGGGGCACCAACCCTTCTCCTCTCCCTGCTCCAGCCTGGCCAGGCTGGGCTGACAATGGGGCAGGTGGGAGCAGGCTGGGGCCCTGGCAGCACTGCTGGCAGCATTCCTTGTGGCACAGCTCACGGCAGGGTTTGCAGCTCCCCTCGCAGCATCGCTTGCAGTGCAACCCGCAGCCTTGCTTGTGGCATCCCGTGCAGCACCGCTTGCAGCACGGCTGAGCTCCCCCAGACCCGGGGCTGGCTGCACGCACGACCTCACACCGCTTCGGGAGCGTGGCAGGGTCCGGCAGAGCCCCCAGCTCCCATTTCACCCTGTTTCATCCCATTTTTGGATGGAAATCATCCCCCCTCGGTGACTCTTCCCCCAAACCAGCATCAGAGCGGGGAGCCCCGCGGCTGGGCACCTCCCCTGCTCGTTTCTCGTTAGCGGAGGGACAACAGACCCCACACACACACCCGGGGGTGCCGCTGGACCAGCTCGGGGGGGTCACCGGGGGTGCCGCGGCGGGGCCGGCAGGGGGCGCTGTGGCGCCGCCGCTCCGCCGGTCCCGGGGATGCTCCGGGGATGCTCCGCCCGGCCCGGCCCGGCCCGCATCATCCCTTCCCTCCCCGCATCGCCCCGGCCCGGCCCGCAGGTGCAGCTGCTGAAGGACCAACTGGCGGCCGAGACGGCGGCGCGGATCGAGGCGCAAGCCCGGGTGCGGCAGCTCCTGCTGACCAACCGCGACCTGCTGCAGCACGTCTCGCTGCTGGTGCGGCAGCTCACGGTGCTGGAGGCCCGCGAGGAGCAGCGGGACGAGCACCGGCAGCCGGGTGAGCTCCTCCCCACACACCAAGGGGACCCCTCCTCACACACCAAGGTTGTTTGGGTGCTGGGGTGCCCCCAGTTCCATCCCTCTGGACCATCTGCACACCCCTTGTGGTCACAGGGAGCAATTGGGGTCGTCCCAGTACCATCCCAGCAGGCTCTGGGTGGCTTTGGGGCATTTCTGCACCCCTCAGTCTAGGGGAGCAGCTGGATTGGAGATCCCCAGTTTTCATGTGTCCCTTTGTCCTTCTCTCACAGTTGACCGCTCCTTGCAAAACCTGTCCCTGGCCCAATCCCTCTCCCTGAACCTGAAGAACCACTACAGCCTGGACGTCCACCTGCCGTCCACCTCCACCCCCGCCAGCATCCTGGGCAGCCCCGTGGCCCCCGGCTCGCTGCCCACCCTGGGCCCCAGGGACTCCTACCTCAACCTCGTCAGCCTGGACAGGGGCAGCCACCGCTACGGCAGCAAGGAGGGGGACGAGTGCCTGGCGGTGCTGGAGGGGCAGGACGGGCTCAGCCGGCGCGTGGAGGGCTCCGAGGTCAGTGACTTCGCTCTGCTCAACGGGAGCAGCCGGCAGAAGGTGGATGACGCAGACAGAGGGGACGAGGACAGGTAGGATGTGCCACCTCTGCGTCCCGCCAGCTGGCCCGGGAACACCCTGAGTGGTGCAGGTAAGTACTTGCCCATTACCTCCTCTCTCTCTTCGCCTTTCCAGGCGCCAGCCGCCCATTCCCAAGCTCAACCCGCCACCGCCCATCCTACGCAAAAGGTCAAGCAAGACCTCCCCGAGCCTGGAGGTGGAGGTGAAGCCTGAGAGCGCTGCCAGCCTGAGCCTGCCCAGCGCCAGCATCTCCAGCCTCACCAGCATCACTGCCAGCTCCCTCACCCTCTTGGACTCTGAGGCGAGGACTCCCGCACGGAGCACTGCCTCCAGCACAGAGCCCGGCCCTGCTGGGATGTGCCAACGCAGCCTGGGCAAGGACAGGACTGGAGAGAGCGGGCCAATGTCCCCCTTGGCCAGCATCCGTGACCCAGCAGCCAGCGAGGCCCTGGCCAAGGAGTTGGCAGCCCTGGGCAGCCCCACGGACAGCTCCCTGCCCTTCTCCCCTGCGGACGACACCTGCTTGCACATCAGCTTCTCCGAGGATGAGCTGGACACTGCCGTGGGGCCCAGCAGGGTCCTCTCTTAGTGGGACTGCAGTGGGTGGCAGCTGGTGGCAGCAGCCCCGGCAGCTCCGTCCACGACCCTATGCTGGGGTTGGGGGTCCCTGTGCCCAGGCTGTGAGGCAGGTCCCCTTGCTGTCCCCATCCCACATAACAGCTCCCACCACCACCTTGGGGCCACTGCACAGGATGGGACCTGACCAGCCCTGCCCTTGGTCTGCACCAGCTCACACTGCCATCCACTGTCCTGTCCCTGCTCACACAGCCAGGGATGCTCCACGGCAGAAAATCCCTGGGAACTGAAGGGTGGAAGCCCTGGGCAGGGCACAGCACAGGGCTGGGAACACCCACACACGAGGCTGTTCTGGTTCACCAGTTGCTGCCCTTGGTAGCCTGAGCGAGGCCATGTGGCACAGCCACAGTGTCACTCCCCTGTCCAGCTCCCCAAGGCGGGTCCCAGGCTGCCACCCCACTGCCACCATGCTGGTTCTCTCCAGAGCAGCCTGTGTCTACCAGTGCCACACTGTGCCCAGCCCAGCTTTGGGGACAGCAGCCCCACCACTGTGCCCCCACACGGTGAAGCCACCACTGCCTCCCTCCACAGGTGCCTTTTCCCACTCTCCAGCACCCACTGCCCACATAGGCTGGGACCATCCCCGTGAGGCCACAGATGGGTGCAGGGCTGGCCCTGGGAGCCTGTGGCAGTGGGGGGTGACCCCCAAGGAAGGGAAAGGGTGCATCCCATGTCTTGGGCTCTTGCTGGTGGCTACAGGCAGGAGGCTGCTCCTTGCACTGGTTTAGGGTGTTACAGTGTGGTTTGGGTTTGTTCTGGGAAGTGTGACTGTCCTGGAAGGAGTTAAGGTCTAAGGAAGAGTGTTGGGTGAAGGGCAGGTTTTGGGGAGGGAACAAGGGGATCCTTATCCACCTTGGCTGATTGTGAGAGGGTGTTGGGAAAGTGTTGGAGAGTCGAGTTGGGAAGTGTCAAGCAGAAATGGAGACTCGGGGCTGCCACGCTGCCTGTCCCTGACACTGCTGCTCCCACAGGGAGATAGGGGTGACAGGACACCCCAGAGCCGGCCATGGCAGTGACAGGGCTGGGAGGGGGCTGGTGACGGGGCTGGGGGCTGTAAAGCTGGGCTGGGCTGTCCCGTAGTGCGGTAGTGACAGCCCAGCCCGTCCGTAGGATGACGTGTCCGTTCACTGCGGTTCCGTAACGGACTTTTAAAGGAAAAAATAAAGGTGTCGGATTTGCAGAGCCAGTGCTGTGTCTCTGCCCCACGGGGCCCACGCAGAGGGAGTCCTGAGGCTGTGGAGTCAGACTCTGGACTGTACAGGTATTCCCAAAGAGGGAAGATCCCTGCTGGGAATGACGGCTGAGCCCCTGAGCTGCCAGCCCACTCCCTACACCCTCCCCATCCTGCAACCCCAGTACAGGTCCCAGCAGCCCCTTCTGTTCCCCCTGGCAGGGCCAGTGACAGTAGGAGGTCCTGTGTCCCCACACATGCTACCACAGGGCAGAGGGATTCCATAGTCAGGGATGGGCCCATCTCCAGTGAACCCCTGCTGTCCAGGCCCAGCAGCATCCCCACGGGCTGCATGGCACTGACCACCACCTGCCAGAGCTTCCACCAGGATGCCCTTTCTAGGCCCCATTTCTGCTCCTGAAATAAATCCTGGCCCCAGCACACAGGGTGTGAGTACAAGATGGGAGTAGGCAAATGGCAGGCAGGTGGCAAACCTTGATGCAGGATGGGATGGGAGCAGTGGCATGCCAGGGTTCTGGGACACCCCAGGGGCTGCCTGCAGCCAGGACAGGCAAGAGAGCCCCTGCCCTCCTCATCATCCTCACCCTGCAGTTCGGGGAAGGGAACCCCTGTGCGATTCAGCACTGAGGCTCTAGGACAGACCCTGAGATCCTCCCCCTGTGCAGGAGGGGGGACTCAACTGGAGGGACCCAGCACCTCTGGGGTCCCAGGGCTACTCTCCATCCCTCCACAGAGTGGGTACAGTCTCCAGCAGGACAGAGTGGGGAACAGGGAGCCCTTTCCCTGGGCCCACCGCAGACATCTGCCGGGGGGGCTGCCTGTGTGGGGAGGGGGCACTTCCAGCCCAGAGCCTTATTATGCTTCCTTCATGGGAAGAAACTTTTTCCTTTGCTGTCTGCTAAGCTGCTAGCAATCATCAGGCAGGCAGGTGGTAAAGATTCATATCCATCAAACAATGCCATTTAGTTTGTAACCTGTGACTAAATCTGGTGTTAGCTTTAATTTCAGAGTCTGCTTTAGGGCTCGCTTGTTAATCTCTATGCAAAGCAGATGAAATGAATATGCAGCATTTTGGATGTAATTGTACGGCTTCAATTCAGCACTATAATTTTCCAAACAGGATCTTGCAATCAAGCTTCTATTCATTAGTGTATAAACAATTTAGTTTCTCAGCTCTCCAGTATGCCAATCATCTCAATGGAGTGAGCATCTCCGACAGAAAGAGGAGGAAAGTTTCCTTTGTGTAACAGAGGTAAAAGTTGCTCCATACTTCAGACAATTCCTGCCTGGCAGATCCAGGCCATTCCCACAGAAGGGGGCAGTTCCTGGTGCCCCCACAACACTGACCAGCTGCAAACAGCACCCCGGGGAGTGATGTCCCAGTGATCTCCCGGCTCAGGTAGCCCCAGGCCCCTCAGGAATTCTGCATGTGAGACCCCAGGATCAGGCTGCCTGGAAAGGTGAGACCATGCAGCAACACAGCACGTCCCAGTGATCCCTGGGGCTCCTTGGTGCCCCACGACTCCGGAAAGAGACAGTCACCCCAGGCAAAGCCCCCTCCACATTCCCATCTCCCCACGCAGTGCCACAGGACAGGGCACAGGGGACACCCCACACCTGGGGCCAGTGGCAGCTCCTCCATGGAGGACAGGGCCAGGATCACACAGGGCTGGGAGTGGGGCAGGTTTTGATCTCAGGGGCTCAGCACCCCCATGGCTGGTGCTTCCCTCAGTGGGGACCCGAGTGTCCCACACACACACCAGCACATCCAACACCCGCCGCATCCCCGTCCCTCCTCTGCCGCTGCCCGGAGGTGAGGAGGGACCAGCCCGGAGCCTCCACAAAGGGAAGCGCCGTCAGCGGAGCCGCTCAGCGCGGTCCCCGTTTCCAAATGAATATCGACAGCGCTAATTACAGGCCGCCATGCAGACAGCTTATTAGCTTGTCACAAAAAGACGGTATTGAACTCGGAGCCCGCGGTATTCACGGAGCGCAGCAAGACTCTCCCCAGACAGCACAGCGAACCAGGCAGGCGAACAACCTCCAGCAAAACTAATTACTTCCTGATTGTCTATGGCCACCCACTGGGTATAATAGTATAGACTAAATTTGGCATATACATAACTAAGCACTCGGCACCAATTTGGCGTACAATAATCATCCTCTGTGTTGCATAATTAAAATCTGATCACTTGGAATAATTATTTCATATTCCCAGTATCGGGTGAGGATTGCATAATGTGGCAGGAGCGTGTGCCGGGGAGTGGAACGATCCACTTCCACAGGAGTGAGCCCCCCAGGAAGGACTTTATGGTTCCAGGCAGGGCAAGAGACCCAAGAGATCTGCTCGGCACCAGCCGCCTCTGACAGTGCCAATGACCCTGTGATGGCCCAGCGCTGTCGGTCAGCACCAGCTGTGGAGGAGCTGGAGTCACCTTAACCAGCACTGAGCACAGCCCCAGTGGGGTAGGACTGTACCCGCCAGGACAGGCTGTCCCCGTGTCCCCACGCAAGCACTCTCCACATTGACCTTTCCAGGCTGGCTGCTGCCCCGCTGCCCGCCCGGCCGGGATGCTCATCGCCCGACCCCATTGTGCTCGTGCATCTGCTAAAGGCATTTGGAGAGACACGGCAATAAAAAATAAAAATCAAGTGGAACGTGTGTGTCTAATCCATTAACTTCCTCCGGCGGCTCCCCGGGGACCCGGCGAGGAGCAGAAAGAATACGTGGATATTGCACGCGCCCTGGCACCTTGTCCCCGGGCCAGCCCCGCCGCTGGCCACTGCCACGGGCTCATAAATCACCGCGGGCGACAGCGTTTCACAGCTCGCTTCCCAGCCAGGATATGGCCATTCCTGCTGATTACGCCGCCGGGCGCGCGGGGGAAGCTGCATCTCCCACTTCCAGGAAGGGAGGATCCGCAAGGAAAACGCATTGATAAAAAGAAGAACGAAATCAGCTTTGTTCACGTTGCGAATCTCCCATTGTTCCTGCTGCGGCCATCAGACCTCGCTGGAGAAAGTATTTCCTCAGCGATAAATCTCCTGGGCTCCTCACAGCCCTCACCTTGGCACTGGATTCTCCTCAGCTTGTTTTGAAAGAAAAAGCAGTTTTGGCCGCGGGCCCCCCGTAGGGTGCACTGGGCCACTCATGGTGTGACTTTGGGGAGTGAGGGACATCCCTGGGGCAAGGGACAGGTTCTGGTGCCCATCCCAGGGGTCTCTGACCTGTGTCCCCAGACAAGGGGACCTTCCCTGCCACTCCCAAAAGCTCCACTCCCATCCCACAGAGCCCGTGTTCTCCCTGCAGGCACGGCACGAGCCGGGGAAAGTGAGTCTGACCGGGGCCACACTAATCCCAGTGCTGAAACGTGGAGCTGGCAGTGGCCAAGCACTTGGAATACAGGAGTCAGGCTGACAGTCATACAAGAAAAATAGATCAAGTTTCCAAGAAAATAGAGCTGAGCTGATCTGATTTTCATCAGCATCTTCAGCCGCCTTTCGGGAAGCCCCAGCCCACTCCTCATTCCTGCTCTCTGCTTTACAAACCACTTAATTCCTTGTTGCTTTGGAAACCCTCACAAAGACCCTCTGCATCCCCCAAAATAACGAGCAACAGATGCTGCTTTGACCTCAGCGACTTCCTGGAAACATACATTTGTCAAAATAAAAATAAAAAGATTAATGTGAGGAAAGCTTTTAAATTATAAGGAAACAGCAGACAGAGCCCGGCCGCGCACGCCGAGCCCTGGGACTGCAGAGAGAGCCGAGGATGGCCAGGGAAGGGCTGTGGGACCAGGGGTCCCCGTGCCCAGGGGGTTGGGGACTCAGAAGGACTGGGTCTGACAACACTGCCCACAGCCAGGTGACACCAGGAGCAGGCTCAGGATCTCCTCCTTCCCTCGTTTCTCAGTTTATAGGAGCAACCAGTCTCTTCTACAGAGCTTTAAACCCTCTCTGCCCATCTTGTAGGGGAGGAGATGTGCAAACAACAGGTCACCAGGAACTTTAGGGTTACAAGCACTTGGGGCACCAGCAAGTTCCAACCTCCCTCTGGCTGCAGCTGCCTGGCACATCCCAGGGACAGAGCTCATGCACAGGCACTTGCCAACAGCACCCGTGATGCCCACAAAGGGACAAGGGCTCCTGCCAGGACTCGTGACAGCCACACAGGTGTGTGACACAGCCAGACGCGAGGCACAACCCACCCCACCACAACCCCGTGCCCACAGCACTCACCAGAACCACAGGCAGGGAGGCTCCACAGGCTCCAGGCAAGGGAAGCCCCTTTTCCCTCACAGCTTTATAGAATCAGCCAAAAATGAGCTGCTGGGAAGGGCCTCCTTCTCCTTGGCCTGGTGGGAGGTGGGCTGGGTCATCCTGGGGGTTTGTGCACCTGGGCAGGTGTGTCAGGGGCACATTGGGCATCCCCATCCTCATCTGACTCCTGGTTGCACCCAGCTTGCTGCTGCTGCACCACAAAGCCTGAACGTGGGACCTGAGGGACACCCCTCCCAGGAGGGTGTTCTCTCCCTGGGCACCCTGTCACCAGGATGGGGGTGCACCCGCCTTGGTGAGGGGCTGCAGCACCCAGGCTGCTGCTGCAGGATGGTGAGCAGTGGATGGTGCTGGGGCACTGTCCCCCTGCCCACGCTGGGGAGGTGACAGTGGCACAGGGGTCGGTACAGTCGGGCTGCCCCCGTGCCAGCACCCTGGGGTGTGTGGGGTCCTGCTGCACCAGGAATGCAAATCCTGACCCGGGCTGGGCCAGGGGCTCTGCCTCCCCCGGGATTCCTGTGGTAGCCATGACAACGCCCATATACATTTACATATCTATCCCGGGGACATCCAGAGCAATTGTTTCGTGGGGGTTGTTTCCATCCCGCCACAGGACATGCCAGTGTTCCCACCTCACACCCATGGCCACTCCTGCACATGGAACAAATCCTCTGTGTTGCCCCTTCCCTGGAGCCCCTGGTGCAGGGGCAGCCCCTTCCCACCCGAGTCTGGGGAGAGAACCAGAAAAATGACTTTCCATCATGTCAATGAGAGCCAAGGAAGGGCCAGTGAGCTCGGTGGTGCAGGCAGGTGCGTGTGGGCACTGCCAGCCCCTGACAGCAGTGCCAGGGGCCTCCTGTGCCAAGGGATGATCAGAGCCATGCTGGAGCACGGGCACAGGCAGTCCTGCTGGCTCCCATGGCAGCAGCACATGCTGAGGACACTGGATGAGCCCCGGCCTCCTTCTGCCTCCCACACTGTTCACCCAGTGGTTCTGCCTCGCAGCTCCCAGCTGGCAGCACCTCAGCACTGCCAGGAGCCCGGGGTTAGTCACAAGCCAGGAAAGGCAGCTCCTGTGCTGAGTTACA